TCTTGTCAAAATGTCTTATCTTATGTCTCCTCCAACTACTTTTTTAAACTTTTCATCCGGTCCTTGGCCAAGGCTGCTTTCCTCTACTTCTGTAATTTTTCCCTTCACTGCCCGTACCCCATTCCCAACACAGCCCAAACCCTTGTTCACATCTTGGTCACCTCTAAACTTAATTTATCCGATGCCGCCTCTGCCCGAGCTGGACCCTCCATAAGCTTCGGCTGATTCAGAGCTCTGGCCGCCCTGGGCCGGAGATGGCTGCTCTGTCCCATTCCAGGCCTGATGCACTCTGGCATGAGAAAGCTGCATTTTGTGAAATGGGGAACTGTCAAGTGTGAAGTGATATGAGGGAACTAGCACAAAGGCATGTGTTAATAATAATAACCTTACATTTGATTTAGAGCCTTATTACATCATTGAGACATCTCAAATTACTTGACAGAATATACTGTTAAGTGAATTGGCTGTGTATTTTGTGGATGAAACCCGGCAGCCAATTGTGCACAGCAGTATCCCACAAATAGTTGTGGAGAGATTATTACTCCCAGAACGCAATCCACCAATGGACTAAAAACCAGATTCCTACTGACTGCAAGGTAGATAAAGGCGTGTGGTAAGAATGGTCACAATACAAGGTACCCACTCTCAGTGGGAGCTCAGTCCTGTTCTTATTGTATAACATGACTGAAACATTAGCTATTTTTAAAAGAACTGAATGTTATAAAATCCAGCATTCCTGATTTAATTCCAATGATCGGTATGATTACGGGTATTGTTCTGCCTTTGTGTACCTGGGGAGATTTAGAAGTGCCCTGGGCAGGAAGCTATTGTAAATGAGCTCTCAGGCTTAACAGGAATAAAAGAAACCTAACAATACAAGGAATACACTATTATGTTCTGTACTTATGATCAAGATGGGTTTGGCATTCCTGAATAAAATCCAACAAATTTAAAAATAAATTAATTTAAAATGTTTCAATTCCTTTCTAATTTAAAGATAAATTTACAGACGAGGGTAAGATTTCATTATTCCTCCTAACCTTATTGTGTCTTCCTGTGTTGCGCACCTTCCCCCATCAGAGGGTGATTCTGATTTCTGTTCAGTGACTATTGGTAAGTGTTTATGATTTGAAACAACAACAAAATTACATTTGTAGAGCACCTTTCACGTCGGTAGGATGTCCCAAGGCGCTGGACAGTCAGTTTCGGACCCAAGTTCGGGATCGGGGAGTGTAGAGGGCAGGGTGGAAGCAGGGAGATCGAAAGCATGGTCGAAAAGGAGGGTCTTGAGATGGGTCTTGAAGGAGGCAAGGGAGGGGGCAAGGTGGAGAGACTGTGGAATGGATTTCCAGAGGGTGGGGGCGGAGTTGCAGAAGGCCCGCCCGCTAATAGTGGGACGAGTGAGGCGGGGGATGTGAAGCAGCCTGGAGCCGACTGATTGGAGGGAGCGAGCAGGATGGTAGGGGTTAGGATGTTGCAGAGGTAGTGGGGAGCAATACCGTGGTGGGCTTTGAAGGTGGGGATCAGGATCTTGAACTGTATCTTCTGTGTGATGGAAAGCCAGTGGAGTCAGGCGAGGGTGGTAGTGATAGGGTCACGAAGCCTGGTGCAGGAGAGGACGCGGGGTTCTGGATGATCTGCAGCTTATGGATGGAGGAGTTGGAGAGGCCGACAAGCAGTGAGTTTGCATAGCCAAGTCTCGAATGTAATGAAAGTATAAGGGTTTTGGTGGCCTGTGGTGTGAGACAGTGGCGGAGCCGGGCAATGTTGCAGAGGTGGGGGAAGGCAGACCGGGTCATGGCACAGATGTTATATACTGTAATGTTATATATAATATAACATTACAGTACTTTCACATTTATTATATATATATAATAGACGTGAAAGTACTGTAAACCCAAACCAGTTTCTCTAGTGTCACCCAGACTCATTTGGTAGCACTCTCACCTCTGCATCAGAAGTTTGTGCCATGACCCTCTCTACCTTCCCTCACTTACGCAACATCACCTGGTTCCACCACTGCATCTCCCCTCAGGCCCCCGAAACTCTCATCCACGCATTTATCACATCTAGGCTCGGCTTCGCTAACTCCCTGCTTGTCGACCTTCCCAACTCTTCCCTCCACACGCTGCAGATCATCCATGTATATATATATATACACACATATATAATATATATGTAGCTCATACTATGGGAATGTAGTAAACAGTGAGGAGGATGGCAACAGACTGCAGGAGGACATAGACAGACTGGTGAAATGGGCAGACACATGGCAGATGAAGTTTAACGCAGAGAATTTTGAGGTGATGTATTTTGGGTGGATGAGTGAGAGGCAATATACACTAAATGGTACCGTTTTAAAGGGGGTTCAGGAGCAGAGAGACCTGTGGGTTCACATACACAGGTCTTTGAAGGTGACAGGACAAGTTGATAGAGGCTGTTAAAAAAGCATATGGGATCCCTGGCTTTATAGGTGACTGACTGGATTCCCATTCCTGGGAATCTTGTAGTAATGATAATGTGGTCACTCAATCCATGACTACTTGTGGGATACTGCTTTGCACAATTAACTACTGTATTTCACCCACAAAATATACAGTCAATTCACTTTACAGTATATTCTGTGAAGTGCTTTTAGATGTCTCGAAGATGTGATAAGGCCCTATATCGAATGCAAGGATTATTATTATAGAGGCATAAAGTACAAAAGCAAGGAATTTCTGCTAAATCTTTATAAGTCACTGGTTAGGCCTCTGCTGGAGTATTGTGTACAATTCTGGGCACCACACTTTGGGAAGGATATGAACAGCTTTTCTGGGGGTAACAATCCCATTTTTTTAAAAAAATGACCACTCAATCCATGACTATTTGTGGGATACTGCTGTGTGCAATTGATTTACATGTTTTGCCCACAAAATACAGTTAATTAATTTGACAGATGTGACAAGCTTTATCAAATGCAAGAATTATTAATGTCCCAACCTGCAGTCAAACATCATGCTGACCCTCACTGTCTCTGCTCACATTTGAAGAATGGTCACTTGAGGGACATATAGTAGGCTGGTCTGTGTCTGTAGACCCCATGTTTCAGGAAAGATAATATGAAGGGGAACACAATGAAAATGATTTGACTCAAATGACAATTGGGAATTTTCTGCGGGTTATTACTTTACTTAATCGTTGCCAACACTGCTCTGTCATTTTCCCCTAAGACTTTAAGACAGGAAATCCTTACCTGCCCCAATTTTTCCTCATTTCTGCAGAAGGATTTTAAGACCTGAAAATGTGATTGTTTAATTATTGTTTCTTCATTTGTAGAAATAAAAGGATGGGAGCAAGTGGAGGCCATTCAGCTGTTAAAATCATGTTCAGCTATTTATCACATTACAATAAACCTTTTAAGCTAATTTCTTGTCTTCTTGAAATACTGTACCTTAATATTTTTACTTCACAAAGCCATCTCCATTTTAAGCATTCTTTCAAAATTATTCTTTTTGCCAAACTGTTACCTGAAATTGTAGATTGGTACTAAATTTTGACAGATTTCACAAAGACAATGAAAAATACTGATGTCAGTAGTGATCCAGTACATTGTGATCAGCTGCTGTGCTCTGGGGTTAAGTTTCTTTTTTGTGGTAATAATGACACATTTGCTGTAACACGGTTTATTTTTATATTTTTAAAAAACTTTTGAAAAATATTTATTTTAAATTCCTGCGTAGGAAAAGAATCACATGTGCTATATGATTCCAAAATGTATAGCTCCTCCAAATCCAGCGAAATGAAGTACATTCTTTCTGGGTTAGAGAACACATCAGAGACTAACTTTAGGATCCAGTGGAAAATTAAATAAAAGACAGAAAGTAAAAAAAAATTCCTGCACAGCACTTCCCAGCATTTCCCTAATTTGTTGCATTCGCACTTCCTAGATTTACACAAAACAATATTCTTAATAATTAAAACTGAGTCAAAATAAAGCTTCTGACATCCTGCAAATGGAAGTTTGCCCTTTTTAAATATACAGAGCATATATACATATGTATCATTTTTATTTGTTCGAATTCGTGCCAATAAAAATAACAGACAAAAGACTCAGCTCAAAAAGGGAACAAAAAAGATCTCGAGAAATGGAAAGGAAAATAAACTAAAATCAACTTAAGAAATAAAAGTTACATTTAACATCAATCAGCCTATGGGAGCAGCATGGAGCCCGAGAGAGACTACAGCTACCAGCACACACCGCGCGCCACTGGACTGCCTCACTCTGCAGGAGGGGTGACGTGGATAAATCATTTTCCTAATGCGGGGTAGAAACAAGATTTAAAGGAACATAACGATACTTAATCTATAATTCTAAGATAATAACACTGTTGCTATATTTTAGGTGTCCAAGGAGTATTTTATTAGGGTTAGAAGTCTATATTTAAAGGCAGTCACTCCCCTCTGCTTGGATTTGTTGGTTATTTTTTAACGCCATATATTGGACCGAACCACCTCTACCTTGCAGGGGAATTCTCACTCCACGGTGTTATCTGCTTTCTCAAAGCCAAAGGCGCATCTAAAAATCGAAAGGGAACTGTGTTGAGACACAAATATCAACCTTTTTACTTTCCACTTAAAATAGAACAGAGCGGTCCTTAATAAAGACAATGCTTATTGGTAAAGTTTAAACCCCCTTTTTTCCTCGTTCTCGTAGTCCTTTCCATTCCCCGCTGAGCCGCTCACCGGGAGGGTCGGGTCTACTTTGACTTGGGGAGAGAGGTAGGTAAGGGGTGCAATCAGAGAACCTGAAATTCAGAGTCGCGAGAAAAATTAAAGTATTTGAATTGCATACTGAGTTGCGCAGATTAATTTTATTCTATAACGGTCAAGGCCAAGTAGTAGTGCTGTAGGGTAGGTGTGTGAGGGTGTTGCGTTGGCTGTCCCCCCCCAGACTGTGTGGCAGTTGGTTGAGGCGAGCTGGTATATAAGTGCGGCAAGTGGTCCCCGTTGCTCAGTGCCTGGAGCGCGTTACTAGGGAGACAGCGTAGGATATTGATGCTGGCGGCGGGCGCTTGTCAGCCCCTTAGCAACCGCTGCACTGCTCAGCTCCTCAGTAACCCCGGTGAGGAGCGGCCCCGCTGCAGCCCCGACACACTTAATACAACAGCATTCGGTTTGTTGGGTAACTTTAAGAGTTTATTTTCTATTTTTTAAATATATATATATATCTCAGTGTGGTTAGGGGAGCAGGTAAGTGCCATTGTTGCAGAGCCCCTTTGGCCCCGAGTGCCTCAGTCTCTGTGGCAATGTTGGGGACCGCCACAGTGCTGTTACTGAGATCCGGGAGAGGCTGCAGTGAAGGGACATTTCAGAGCCACTTGTTGGAAGCTCCTGTGCTTTCTCCCCCCCACACCCCCACACCCCCCCTTTTCTTTCCACAGCTCACGTGGAAGCCTCAAAACTTTTTTTCTTCTCTTCTCAAATGATTTGTCTCTTTCAGAACACTTCTAAGTGCTTTCCCGATTAAAGAAACCTGATGATATGGATCACTTTTTTAAAAATAAACAAGAGATCGCATTAAATAAATTTCAATGCATATTGATGTGACTGCTTTTCCCTTTCCGTAGTTTAAAATTAAATATTGGGGTTACTGGAAGGCATTATTGACTCACCCCCCCCCCCCCCCCCCCCCCAATTCATCTGCTATTCCTCTACAATGCTCGGGTGGAGCTGTCACTCTCCACCAGGAGGTGCACTGGTGTTGACATTTTTCTCTTCAACCCTTTGTTAACTTTACTTCGCTCCCCCCCCCCCCATTTCCAAGTACTACCATCTCCTCTCATTGCCCATCTGAGACCGGCAGCTCACTAGAATTACAGAGATGATTGTGTGCCATGTGGTAGGCAGAGCCTTTGTATTGGCAATGTGTTGGGCTGTTGGAGTGCATCCCACTTTATTATAATAATAATAATCCTTGCATTTGGTATCGCGCCTTATCATGTCTTTGAGATGTTACAAAGTGCCTCACAGAACATACTGTAAAGTGTAGTGACACTTTATGAGGAACTTGTTCAAATGTAATCTGATTACAAACAAGTTGTCCTTTTGTTTACTGCATGCTTGAATGTTTAACGTTTTTCTTTTCATGTTGTTTATGTATGGAGACAAAATACACTATATGACTGAATATGCTATTTAAAGAGCTATTTTTCTACACTGTACTGCTGACAAGTATGCAGACACTGAAGTGTATCTTGCACCATGGTTTCTAAAGAGATTCATTACATGAGACTAATCTGTGTAGTCTGTGAAATAAGCAGCCAGTACTAATAAAATGGAGCAGTGCACTGGAGCTGTGGCTCTGCTTTCCTCATTCTTTGTGTCCTGAGTTTCCCTGTCTCGCGTGGGATAGTGCTGAGGTTCACAAGCCAATACTCGGGGCTGAGGAGGAAGATTCTGAGGGAGAGTCTCACTAGGCTATTATTTCTGGGCTTCAGCTGAGGAGCAGCTTGCTTGCCAATCCCCTTGGCATAGCAATGACTGAAACTGATGGAAAAGTGTCGAGGGGGTGGTGAGATATTGTGTATTTTTTTCCTTTTTCAAAGTGTTAATGCAGTGGCATTGCACTCCAAGTTTCTTCAAGATAGTAGGAGAATGAGTGAGTAGAAAAATAATATTGCACAAATAAAGCCAGCCCAACCTCTGTATGTCCACAAGCTGCCATTTTTTGATAGGTGATTATTTACATTGAAATGTGGAGAAAGGTATGATCACATTGTTCTAATGAGGCTCACAACAGCAACTTGTATTTATATAGCGTCCTTCAGAGCACTTAACAATGGCGGAGCCCAATGCCGAGGGAACAGGGAAGGTGATCGTAGGCCTGGTCAAAGACGAAGATCTTCAAGAATGACCTGAAATGGTGACTAATTTGCTCGAATGTGGGTACCAGTGAGGTAGCTATGACTAGGTTCTCTGGAGAGTTTTTCTTAGGAATGGGACAAAAGAGGGAGAATAACTTCAAGATGGTGGATGATAGAGCTTTGCATGGGGGTGGTTAAACAAAAAACTGAATGAAAAGCAATTCATCTTGTCCACAGAGAAAATATTTTAAGAATATATCAAAGTGTAAGGGGAAAAGAGGAGGCATTTGGTAATAGAAGTTGACTCAAATTGGAGCCAGCACCAGTGTAAACTGACTAATGGCTTCTTCCTTTGCTGTAATCTCTATGATGCATGTCCTGGTTATGGGCTAAATGACTGAGCACTGCTGGTTTATGTTTTGGATTAACCTCTAATGTTTGTGGGGGAGAAGAGTAACAACCATTGAACTTTAATTAAAATGCAAGATTAAAGAACAATGTGGAGGAGGAAGTACTTTGATGTTTTGGAGACAAATTTGTTTGGATCTTCTGGCTTAATGCCATGACCATTTGCTGAAACTTTCTGAATATTGGGTACTGATCTACAGTAGTAAAAAGCCCAGGAACTGCTTGGTCTTGAGGCCTGCAGTAGTGGTTGTTAGCTGCATTGCCCTTCATGCCTCCCTACTTCTCTGGCCCGCTTACGCCCCTACCTGCCATCTCTGCTTAACTGACTCTGACCTCTTGCTTGTCCCTCATGCCCTCCGTTCCATTGGTGGCCGCCTTTTAATGCTACTAAGCCCTGAACCTCTGGAACACTCTTCCTTTAACCCTACGCTTTGCCCCCTCCTTCCCCATCGTCCGGTCGGGCCTGAAGACCTTCCTCTTCAATCATGCCTACGTTCACCTCCCCCAGCTCGGAGTTGTGCTCCACCACTTGGGTCCACTCTGGGACCCAAGTTGTTGTGTTGGTTGATTAGTTTCAGAAAGCTGTGTGTACTAATTGATTTCCTGATTATTACTCCTGGATGTGTGGTTATCCTGGGTGCTAAAACCTGCTGCTTTGTTTTCTGCTATGACTTGGTTCCCAGTGTCCCTTACATAGGATGAACATGATTCAGGGAGGATGAACTTCAGTTTCATGATACTATAGGGTTCACCAGAGGGAGAGTGGTTGTTTCAGGGTTTTGACCAAATGAGAGAAGATATTTTAATTGAAGGGCTGTTACTAGGATCATGAGGAGAGACACACTTATGTGTCTTGTCTTGGCCTTTCTGATTGAGAAGGGCACTTCTGTGGCAACGTGATATTTGGAGCTTAAAAATATTACAGCCGTTATCCCAGTAATAAGCAGTTGTGGTGCTTTATCCTGAAGGACCTTAATGGGATGATAATTGTGACTGAAAGTGTTCTTACAAAAAGCATTTTCTATGCACTTGTCACAATTTTAAGAAATGTAAATGGATGGTGTTTGACAGCCTCCTGTTTTAGCCACCGATCTTGAACCCAATGACCAATATTAGGAAGTAACAAGTGAGTGATGGACCAATATTCTGGCAATGATGAACGGTCATCAATGGACAGAGCTTTAAAGAGTTAGTGAGTGTATTTGTATAGAGATATCAGTGAGCCATCTTGTAGGTTTGTTGGAGTGATGGTGAGTATGTGTAAAGATATTTCCGATTATAAGTACAAGTTGGCTTCATTATCACTGAGCAGCACCACTGTTGGGTCATTATTGTATTTTTCTTTTTCTGGCCTGTGCTATTCTAGTCCTCTTTAAGCATCTCTCCATATAATCCATTCACATAAAATAGGAATCCATCCAGCTCCTGATGCTAGCTCAGAAGCTGTGGACAAATTGTCACATCCCTACTGCTGTCCAATGGAGATCATATCTGACCTTTTTCTTGGTTAGCATTCACTGCAGTGGACAGTCCTTAAAACCAACTAACATTAAGGGAGCATTAGGTATTCACAGTGAAGGCTTTTTACTTTGTATGGCAGAGGTATTTCTTTCAAGGTGAGTGAGTACTGTGGTCTTTTCTTCCATGATATAAACGCAGGTCATTATTGAGCAGTATAATATATTTGTGGGGTCCTATACCTTAGTAGTTAGAGCACTCACTTTGCAAGCGAGGGACCTGGGTTTGATTCCTGGCAGAGCGAAATGCTGGGCAAGTTTCCTAACTCCACATGCCTCTGTTTACCTAGCAGGGGGTAATAATTCCTTCAAAATAAATAATAATAATTTGGTCACTCAATCCATGACTGTTTGTGGGACGCCGCTGTGCGCAATTGGCTGCTGTGTTTCGCCCACAAAGTATACAGTCAATTCACTTTACAGTATATTCTGTGAAGCGCTTTGAGACATCTGGAAGGCGTGATAAGATGCTATATCAATGGCAAGTATCATTATTAGTTGGGGATCATATTGAATTGTGATTAAGGAGAAGGCCTTTTTCAAACTTGGTATTGAAAATCAAAAGCTAATTGTTTGACCAAGATACAACTGAACCTTGTTTTTCATTGTTATATAAACCCTGTTTGTTATAATAAGCTTGTCATCAAAGTGCTTATAACTAGAAACCTCGTAACCCATAGTGTGCTGTAACTGAGCTTTGTGTGGAACTGTTAGAATTAAAATCATTGTCAGCATTAGCGTTAGGATCCTTACAACTGAGGAATTTACTGTAAACTTTTATTCTTCAAATATTTTTTGAGACTGACAAGTCTGACACAGAATGCAGTTGTGAACTAATTGTCTTTGGGTGTAAATAATATATAATAATAATCCTTGCATTTGTGGATGAAAGAATATGCTTCAATCAGGAACTCTCACTGTTAATATATTCCAGTGCTAATTATACTTAGCTCTGCTTCTCACTTTTTTTCCCAAAGCATGTGTCCCTTAACTTCACTGGAAATTGTATCTTTTACTTCTGTCGTTCCAGCTTTGCCTCTTAACGATTAAGTGCGAGAGGCAGCATATGAGTACAGTACATAGCTCAAGTGTTGGGACTTTTTCACATAGCCTTTGCTCTCTGGCAATGCAGCTTGGCAACGAAAACAGAAAGCTGAGGGAATGCATGAAAGATATGTGTATGTGCTTTTTTTTCCCTAAAAGTGCCAGATTCCTAGATTAGGAGTAATTACTATCATACTGTTTACTGTTGGACCTTGTGTTGCTTGGCTAGGCTGTGCATGTTGGAGACTATACTGATTGCTTGTTTTATAGTGCTCTCTTTATACTCTACTGTACCTGCAAATGTGATGATGGTCTAAAGTGCACGTTGTAATCAATGGGATTATGGAAAG